AGCCACCCTGGCACAGGTGGGACTCCAGCCCTGATTTTGCAGGTCCCTGCCTTAGGTGTGTCACCATTATATGTAGTGACTGCGTCACACCTCTGGTTCCTGTGATATCCCTGACTGCAGGGCAGGCTTCAGCTCTGCTTGATCCCTGCTGAAATGTGCCTGGCTGTTTGTGAGCTGCTGCTGAGACAAATTGGGCTCCCCGCCCTCAGGAGAGATGTGAATATTTTATCCAAGGACAGCGCTGGGCCCTCTGGTCACTGTGCTCTGTTTGAAGTGATGAGTGTGGCGTGGCATGCACGAGAGCAGGGAGAGTGCTGCCAGCTGCTCTGGGTGCTCCTCATCACACTGCTCTGGATCCCTCCCTGCTCTCTTCCTGGGAGCTGTCCAGGGATGAAAATTGCCATTAATGTGGTCGTTCCTCCTGGGCAGTAAAGGCTGGCCTTCCAAAAGCCGTGCCCTGCCTTCCTGCCTGGGTGTCACAGTCTGTTCCTCGGGAGGGCTGCCCCTGGCACTGACCAGTTCTGGGCAGGACACAGTGGCACCGTGGGCACCACAGCAAAGGGCAGTGCCAGGCAGTGCCCACGTGGCCTCTGGAGGAGATGCAGGCTCAGAGAGACACTGTGCAGGCTAAGTGGCACCAAGATGGTTTATGCTACAGTAATTCCTCCTTTTGTCTGACTTACTCCTGCACATACTGAAAAGCAAAAGTGTTTCCTGGGGGGCTGAAGGGCCTTTTCCCATTTTCCATTAGTGTTTTTGCTGTTACTTTTCTGCAGCTGCTTTTTCAGGCTGCCCTTTGTCTGCCTTTTGGATTCTTTGAATTTACTTGAACTGTGCATCTATTTTTCCCCATAAGAAAACCCAGCAGACTCATGGAGCCGCCTTCTGCAATGCTGCAGTGGGATGGTGCAGGGACCCAGGGTTTGTGGGCACCCTGTGAGTGGGAGCAGAGAGCTGAGCCCCTTTCCTGAGCACCAGCTCTGCTCTGAGCCCACCAATCAACCTCCATCTCCAAATCCTTGTGGCACAGAACCAAAGCATTTCCCAAGCTAGCCCACTCTGGATTTTGCCAGCCTTCCCGTGTCCGTGTCCCAGTTTTGGGGCTCTCAAATGCTTTTGAGTTGGGACAGAATTACAGAGAGAAAATACTATGCAAAACATGCTTTGGCTCAAATTTTTTATTTCCTCTTTCAGAAACTGCTTTATTTTATACTCCTTTTCAGTCAGAGCACTTAGTGGCAAGGTTCTGAAGGGCGCTTTTGTTCTGCAGGCCCTCGTGTGACTTCTCCATGAAAAGCAAAAAACCTATCAGCTCTCATAGAGGCTTCTGGTTAGGAGGGACAAAGGCATTTTTCCTGGAAAATGCAGCATTGTTCTGTAGAATTGGTACAGTGTATTTGAGAATAGGTGTGCAGTAGTTACTTTGAGTGCACTTCTCTTTGTTAATTACTTGACATCTGTCTTTGCTTTTATAATTGCTGGTAGAGTGCGTGGGCTTTGCAGAGTCCATGCTGCTAAAGGCAGGAGGGAATGATGCCTTGCTGAGGTCTCTTTGGCAAGGGTGTTTTGTTAAAAGGTGTTTTAAATAAAAATATTAATGTTTTTTTTTTCTGACAGAAAGGCTACTTGTGACCAGTATAAAATGAAAAAAATCAGACTTTTCACCCCCTTTGATGTTAAGAGCATGAGACACTTCCATGATTGTGCTTCCCCCCACCCCACTTTTCTTTGCTCCTCAGTAGACAGAAGGTGAAAGTTTAAAGAAAAAGGTGCTCTGGAAGGAAAAGGGAACAATTTCTGATTTGAAACAAAGTGAACATTTCAAGTGAAGTTCCTTAAAAAAAACTCTAGCAAGGGCTGTGATGGATCATTTTCCCTAACCACTGTATGAATTATTATTAAAATGTTAATTTATGGAGACATTAAGAGCACCTCAGAGTATATTGGTCTCGTGAGAAGTTCCTGGAGTGCTGAGGATGTATCAGAGCTCTCCAGCTGCCTCCTGGCTGCTCTGATTGCCTGCTTGCTAGCTGCAGTGTGATTTCTGAGCTGGTAGGCTCTCCTGCTCACTGATTTTATTCTCCTTTTACTTTTATTTGCACTGGGTGGATGCAGCTGGGAGGAGCCTTCTGCTGCAGCCTGGGTTTGCACTCCCTGGCCTCTGGCTCCTTTGGTGTTTGGTGCAGTTCTACAGGATTGCACAAGGAGTTCATCAGACAGCGCTGGAATTGCATCACAGGCAGGAAAAATGGCAACATGCTCTGTCCTGTCAGGAAACACAGAGGCAGGTTGCTGGGAAAGGTTGACAAAACTCTTCTGTTCCTGGCAAGACCAGGGTGGGTTGTAGTCCTGTGGTTCTTCGGGGCATTGCAAAACCCAGTCCTCTGTGCAGCAGGATGCAGTGTTCTCCTGTGTCACCACAGAACGGCTGTGAGAAGACCTTTTTATTTGGGGGGATATCACAGGTTTGGGGCTGTTTGGGTTTTGGAGTATTTTCGAGTAATCCTGGAACAGGATTTTTGAGTAATCCACAGGAACAGAGCTGAGCTGGCAAATTCTGGCATGGTCAGGGCATCCAGGAGGGTGTGGTGGCTCCCCTTGACCAGCCCTTGACTCTGTGCCTGTCCCTTCCATGGTCCTTTGCATTTGTGTAGAGTGGGAGCAGCCAGGGCTGTGGTCAGCTGTGTCCCTTCTCTGTAATGGAGAAATTGCTGTAATCTGACAGGCCCTGTGTCTGTCTGTCTCCACTGATAAGATCTCTGGAAAGCCTGGAATGAACCAGAAGGAAATCACTCTGTGTGTGAGGCTCCTGATTTTATAGCTGGGTAGAGCAAGAAAAAAAGGGTTTTCCTACTAGTAGGCAGAGCATGGAAATCTTGGATACCTTGCTCATGGGAACCTGGTGGCTCTGTGAGACAGTTGAAGGGAGCATGTTCCTGTGAGCACAGCTAATGGATGTAAATATTAGCTCACTGCAGAGTTCATGTATCACCCAGTGAAATGTAGTAGTTTATTTTGGCCTCAGGCCACGCAAATGGCCTTGCTCAATACAAGGGAAACTCATCCAAAGTCCGTGGTGGTTCCTGCTTGCTTTGGGGCTGAATTCAGTCTGATTTGTGCAAAACGCAGGAGAGAGTCGCTGGAAAATAAGGGTGAGTTAGGACACGCTGTGCATTTAGCTAATGACAAATGGAGAGGGAACCATGAGGGATCTGGATTATGGGAATGATTCCCTGCCACTCTTTACACCTCCTCTCTTCAAGCATCTCAATTACCAAAAGTTCCTTAATTCCTACCAGGAGAGCAGCATGTTGGATCTCGCTGTCCAATCTGAAAGATAAAAATGTTTTATCTTTCTTCAGCATTTCCAGGTGGTGGGAGTAGTTAATATTGTTTCTTCCCTCTGGAGTCTTAAGTAAGATTGGGAGCTGGTTGTAGGTGGCAAGAGAGAGAGGTTTGATAAGCAGCTGGCATTTCAATTTGGAAGAAGTGGTAGGGGGTGATCAGCCCTCTCAGCTGGACCCCAGGGAAAAAAACCCCCTCACTTCCTTTCTTGGCCATTTTTGAAAGCCTGATGGCTTCAGAGGCAGTGTGCAGCCCTTTCCATGGACTGTGCAGGGAAGAACAGGCATGCTTCAGATTTCCTTTGTCTCTTTGAGATGAGCCCAGCAGAGGGAAGGCATCGCACAAAGGCTTTTCAGATGTAAGCCCTGAAAAGGAAGGATTCAATATCCGCTGCTGGGCTTTGAGTAGTGCAGTTCACGTGTCCCGTTCTTGTTAATCTCTGCAATCTGTGCAATCTTAGGTGTTCTCTGCCTATGCTCAAAGCCCTTCTGTGTACTGCATATATTCTGGACAGGTTTTTGAGGGAGATGTTTAAGGGAGCTCTGTGGCTTCTCCCCCCGCACTTTTAACACACCCTGATGGAGCAGGTTTCTCTGTCATCTCATGAGCACATTCCTGACAGTATCACCATGCTCATTACTGCATCTGCCTGGCAGAGCTGAGATGCTTTGATGAAGTTCAGCCTTTTAACCATCTCTTCTCCCTTTGTGATCTGACAGCACACAGGAATATCAAATGTGACCTTAACCCCTTTAATGAGAGCATCTAGTAGATGTCAGTTTTCATGACTACCAGCTTATAAATTGCATCCTGAAAAACCTAGAAACAGAGGGATATTTAATTCCAGTGAGTGAGCAGCTCTGAGAGCCGAATGCCAGATACTGGAGTGGGCAGCCAGTGAAACTCTGGCAGTGTACATTTATCTCAAATTACAGGAAATTGTGTTCTGTAGTGGGAATGGAAAAGTTTGGGATTGTTTTTTTGCTTATCACTGCTGCTTAGAAAGGATAAGCCTTTGTTTAGATCCTTTCTGAAAAGTGTACAGACCTGTTGTTTGTTTACTCCTGTGAGTTCCAAGGAGGGTTTGACTGGGAAGGGCTGGTGAGGCCCTGTCTTGCCTCCACTGCCTGCAGGAGCAGGTTGGAGCAGGCTGTGGCAGCTGGCCCCTTTGCAGGTCCCTGGCAGCACACCTTGCCAGCTGGGACTGCTCTGGTGTGGTGTCCTGTCAGTGTCAGACACACATTCAGTGCAGATGTGCCACAGCCAATGCGAGCGCCCTCTGCACTTGTTCTTAGAGGTGACCAGAGGGAGGTCTTGGCAAAGCACCTTCTTTTGGGAGTCAGAGCTTGGGGTTTGTAGCCTGCAAACATCCATTTGACTCCTTGTGCTCCTGATACAGACCATTCTGGTGACTTGTCAATGAGCTGGGCTGTCCTCTTCAGAGCCATCACCTCCCAGGCTTGGCAAGCTGCCCACAGGCAGAGTGAGGCTGCCATGAGGGTGCTGTTCTTGAGGAATCTTAATGAAATAAAACAGGGGTGTGCCAGAGTTAAAGGGTCACAGGGTGAATGGAGGAATAAACACACAGAGTTTAAAAATGGCCTGCAGTGGTGAAACAGTGTCAGATAACCAGGTCTGTGTGCTTTGTCTCCCAGGATGAAGATGGTCAGTGTCCTGCTGGTTTCGCTCTGGCTGTCCATGGTCACTCTTGGCAGAGGCTCAGGTAAGGACGTGGCATGTGATGGACCTGCCCACTTCTGTGCAGAGAAGAAAACTGTCTGTAGTGAGTTTTGAGCATTTGCAGTGTTTCTGGATTAAATGGTTGTGTATAAAATACTTTAATACAATGCATGAACACAGTGTTGGTTCTGGGGGCCTGTTGTACAATGCTCTGTGTAGAGATGACCAGTGTGGTATGAAGAGGTGCATGAGCAAACAGCAACAGCACCTCCACCTAAAAGTGCTTTCAAACTCCATCTGTGCCCTGTGTCAGTATCATTATTGACCTTCTGTGAGGGGTGAATCCAGGGCTTGGCCCATGGAGCTGCCTTGTCCCTGAGCTGCAGGAAGGACCCAGGCTTGAACCTGAACTCTGCTATCCCTGGCTGGATCCCGAGAGGACTGAGATTCAGCTCTCCAATTCTGACTCATGCCTTAGCAATGCAAGGGGAGAGGGGAACTTCTAGAGTAAGAGGAGCTCTGATACCAGTCTCACTGAGTCACTTTCCTGACAGGAAATATGTTGTCATGCTCGCAGCTCCTCTGGCACTCGTTCAGCCCAGCTCTTGTGAAGAGGCAGATTGTGCATGTCTCGGCTCCGGACTTCCTATTTGGGGGTGGAAGGAGACAGCATGATTTGCAGGAGGCAAGTGGAAAGGGGGAGGGAGGAAAGAACAGGAGCTGGTTTTATGGGGGGAAATGCTCAGAAATAAGGGCTGTACAGGGATTTGACGAGTCCCCCCATGAACTCTTGTCCCTCTGCAATGCTGGCAAACAAGCAGTTACAATATACCCCGAGCAGATGAACAGCTCTTCTATCATTCTCTCTTGGACCACACTGAATTATTGTGGGCCAGACTCACAACGTGCACTTCAGCAAGGTTCATCTCAGTGCAGTGTTCGTGGCACAGGCTGAAGCCTGGGAGGTTTTTCTCCTTGGGCTGCCCAAGGGCTGCAGGCACTCACAGTAGGCTGTATTTTAGTGGGGGATGTCCCATCCTGGCTGACAGGGGCTGGGTGGAAGTGGTGAGCAAAGGGGGAACAGCAAAGGAGAGAGAATACATGGCCTAGGTCTCCTCCAGTGAGCCCTAGGCAGTAGGAGTGTGTGGGGAAGGAGGGGCCCAGGGACATGGATCTCAGCTGCTGGCTGGGAAAATCCCTGCTTTGCTTGAGCTTCTGGACGAGCTGTTCTGCTCTCCACCAACGCAACATCCTCCTCCTGCTGAGGCAGCATTACAACACCCCACGTGCAGTCATCTTGGGATTTTGCAGAAATGAGAGGTTGGTGCAATTGAATCAGGATTGCCCAGGAAATGTTAGAGCAGCTCTAGAAGCTAACACAGTTGGCTGGGAAGAAGCTGATTTCAGAAATGAGCACCCTGGCATTTGGGTCACACAGGCTCGTGCCAGTTGATTTGGCAGAACCAGAACCCTCCATGCATTTCTGCAGGACATTTAGTACTTTTTAAACATACCTCCTTTAGCAGAGATTTGTTGTGAGGGGTGGCCAGAACCCTTGTAGAGTGCTGCAAGAATGTAAGTCAAGTCTCAATACATGAGACACGTAGTCAGTTAAAATACACATCCCCTGCAAATCCACTGCAGTGTGTGCATTTAATTTCCTGCAGGTCTGTGGGTGTCAGATGCACTCTTCAGTTCAAAGCTTCCTTTTTGTGCCATGGCCTTCATAAACCGGTTTGGACTGTCAGGATGTCCTTTGTTATTCATGATGGGCTTGGATGGCTGTTTGTACTTGGATGGAGGGGCAGCCGTCTGTGCAGCCCTCTGTTTCACTGCAGGGTTTCCTGGGACTGGCACCAAAAGGAGACTGGAGCTCGTTTCACCCTTGCAAAGTCACAAATACGTGGCAGTATGGCAGAGTGGCCTTGTTCTGGAAATGTTACAGCATTTGGGTTTGCTTTTTCTTCTTGGTGCAGGGTATGTGGGTGGAGGGGAGCAGAGCTGAGCTTATCTGGAGAGAATGCAGAAGGGCTGTGCACAGTCTGCAGCTGCCGTGGTGGTCACCTAACATCAAGCAGGGCCATGGAGGTGGGCAGCTCTCACTGGGGAACCTGGTTCCTGGGATATTTAACATGTGTGACTTGGTTGGGATTTGTCATTTCAGCTGAGTGCTTTTCTGTGCTTTGAATGTAATGCTGTATTGTTGGGACCAGCTCTCTCTCCAGCCCAGGCTAGACTGAGGAAGGCTGGAGGCAGGGACAGGAGTTGTCGTGTGGTTTGCTGCCACTTTTCCTGCTCTGCCATCCTTCCCAGTGGAGCAGTCTGGTCAGCAATAATGACCTGGGACTGCCCAGGCCAGGGCTACCAGCTCTGCTGAGTCCTGAGTTCTGTGAGCTTACAGAGGGGGTGAGGAACCATCACTTGCTAAATTTCAGCTCCAAAATACCAGCATTGCTCTGGCTGCAAGTGGCCTTTTCATCCAGTTAAGCCACTATGGCTGTCAGTCTCTCTGGCAGTGTGTCAGAAAGCTTTAGCATTACTCTTCCCCCTGCTTCCTACTGGAGAGACAAACCCACAAACTTTATTTCCCCTCCAGATTTTGCCTGCAGCACTGTGGCTCTAAACATCTGTTCTCTGGGCTCTGCTGTTTCTGCTGCGTATGGAGGCTGGTGCTGAAACAAAATCAGTCGCTGAAAGGGAGGTGCAAGCTGTTTGAGGGAAGGAATGTGATCTGAGTAGTGTAGAGTAAGAGATGCAGAGCCTGAGACTGAACTGGTGCCTGAGTCTTCTGTTTGCTCATGCTGAACATGTGGGCAAATCTTCTGCTCTTGACAATATCCTGACCAGCAGTGCATGGAGTGCACGAGTACATCACTCATCACCTTTGGGCCAGTGTTTACAGTGGTAGTCAAGGTCTCCCTGCCTAGCTAAGCCATCCTCAAGATGGAATTCATGTTGTAGGGTGCTTCATGAACCCAGATGTTCTGATAGCCAGGGAAGGATAACAAAAACCCATGGACCCGGGTCTGGTTGTACAATATTTTCTTTGGCACTACTGAAGTCATGTAAATATACACTGGCTCACAAGAGATGAAAAACCAGTCAGACAAAGAACATAACAGCCACTATGAATACAGAATAAAGTTATCTTCTTGTTTCTGAATGAAGCTGCCAATGTTAGATACCAACTTATAAACAAAATGTGGCTGTAATTGTGCTTCTTGTTCAATTTTTCACTCTCTGCTAACCAGGCTGCTCTCTCGCACTCCAAGAGCTTTTGTAGCATGAGGGCTGGGGAGATGACCATGGCTGGGAGTACTGTCCTGGGGGATTGCAAAAGCAGAAGAATATTGCTGCCAGGAGAGGAGGAGCAGCCTCATGCTGGTTATCTAATGGGCCCATGTGGTGTGAGCAGGTACCTGCAGTGCATAAACAGCCCTTTGGTGGGGGGATCATCATGTGTGCATAGGAAATGCCTCTGTGGCTCCCCTGGGGGCTGTCAGACAGGCTCTGTGGTAGGATGAGCCCAGGACTGGGCCAGAATGATACCCCAGCATGGCAGGCAGTGGCTGGAAGGCAGCCAGCAGTTTCTCTCCTGGGAGCTTTATTTCAGGCTTTGCTGTTATTTGCTGGGTTGTGAACATGTCTGTTTACACTCCCCCATATCAAAGGCTTTCAGCTACTTTGGTTTTTGATGATTGTTGATGTCATCAATGCTTTTGGGTTCAGGTGGTAGTTGGAGCAGTGCAGTTGTGGCTGCAGTGAGAAAGAAAGAGAGGTCTAGCTCCAGAGGTCAGAGCCACTGCCTGCACTGTCTCTCATGAGTGCTGAACTGCACTGTGGATCTCATGCTTAGCAGAGCGGCAGAACAGTTGCTTTTGGCCAGGAGAAATTTGCAGATTAATAAATTACTGTCTGTAAAACACTTTGAAGATGGAAAGCCCTGTGCAACTCCTCAGGATTATTGCTATATGGCTCTTACTCTACTGATGGGGCTCCAGTCGCCTTATTTTCCTTATGATTTGTGACAGCCCCAGAAGCTGAGAAGCTTATTTTAGTGTGTAAAGTCAAAAGAAAAACAGATTAAACTGCATTATTGTTTTCTAAAGAGACTAAATCCCTCCCCCACCATCATCTCCTGGGATTTCCTGACTTCCTCCTACTCTTCCAATCTCAGCTTCTTGCTGTCCTAATTTAGGACATGATTTTATAACCATCCATACCCATCTGTGAGCTACTGTGGTTGTAGAAGTTTATGGCACTTGGGGGCATGAAGTCATTGACACTGAGGGTGTTGAAAGCTGCACAGCCCTGGAGTGGATGGAGATAAAACCCGTGGAGCAGAGCTGACCTGGGTGCAGACGTGTCCCCACAGCCGCCAGCCTCCCTCCACACCAGCCAGAGCTGTGCCCACTGAGGAGATAAAACCTCAGGTCTGCTTCTTGTCAGCTGAGGAAATGGGTTGTGAGGGGTGAGCTCTGTGCAGGCATCGTGGTGTGACCTATCTGCACTGAAGTGCAGGAGTGTGTGGAGGAAAGCAGCCCTTTCTGGGTGTGTTGCTGATACAGCACTGAACAGTCACCTTTGCCCCTGTGTGTGTATCAAATAGGGCATCAGGGAGCTGTCATGTCCCCCTGTCACAGCCACAGGGCTGTGCTCTCACTGTCAGAGCTTTTGTGGCACCCAGGTGACTCTGCTGGACTCTTGGTCCCTTTTAGTTCATTTTGCTGCCTGCTGTGTGTGTTTGGTTCCCATCCTTGTCCGGGGACAGCTGCTGCAGCATCTTTGTAGTGCAGACATCCCTGTGGGATGGACAGGGAAGAATTGCTGACTGTATTTTAAAGCAGGCATCAGAGCACCTGGCTAAGTGCAGGGACTGGGCTGCATGGGTTTAGCTAAGCAGCCTGTTGGCAGAGCCAGGAGTTCAGCCTGGACCTTGCCACGTCCCAGTGTGGTGTCCCAGGCACACAGGAGCTCCTGCCAGCATAAGCACAGCTCAGCAGTGATGCTGATCAGATAAACCCCCTTTTCATGCTGCCTCTC